TTTTTTTAATAAAAAATGTGATCAGAGGTAGGTAGTTTTTTTTATGGATATCAACACAACGAAAAATTTAAAGTTGCATAATAAATCTCTATTACAAGAATTAATCAAAGATTGGTTTAGTAAAATTATTTACTTGTAATATTTTTTTATTCACCGTGAAAGCTAATACAATATAGAAAGCACTGAAACTCTATAATCATTTTCACTCTTTTTTTTTCAAAATATGTACTGAAATTTGAAATTTTTTCAACAAACATTTTAAAAAGTTACAGTATCAAAATTATTTCTTATTTTAAGTAGGAAGACTATTAGAGCATTTAAAAGTGTCTTTAATGCTTGAGTGATTTTAATGCTTTTTATCAAATGTACTTATTTTCTCATGGTGACAAAAAAAATTATCTACGTGAAAATTATTTTACAAAATCAATTTCTGAGTGATCTGTGTAGGGTGAGATTTGTTATGTAATTTTAAATTTAGCGGCGGCAGAATACCTAAAACAAATATTGAGTAGGTAGGTATATAGTTGTAGAGCGTACAACTAGATGGCGCTTGCATCTTTTACCGGCTACAGGTAATTTAACTCACTGTATTACCGATAATTCCTAGAAAAGGAAAGCAATAGAAGTTGGAGAAAGTGTCAACAGTTAGCGCTGTTAATGACCACGAAATCTGTTCAAGTTTCCTATCTATAGTATCATTTATCTAGGATCGTGTTATTATTAACCTATAATTAAGGTTTATGTTTTTGATAATTACTTTGTTAACGATTTCAGTTTAATGTAAGTAAAAAATAGTCACATTTTATACAGGAAGTTCCCTTTAAAAAAATAACAATTCTTGTATTATTAATATGGAATTTTTACTTGTGGTAATAAGAAATAGAATATAAAAAAACTCGCTGTTTTTAAATAAACTTTTTAAAATATTATAGATGTCCGATTTTGAGTCCAGTGATTCAGATGACTTATTAGACGCATTGTCCAGCTTGAGTGATGATGAAATAGATTTACTCTAAGAAACAGAGTAAAAAATAAGAACTACTTTGAAATTATTGTACCTGAATATAGTGGCCAAGTTTTTTAACATTTCCGTGTTAGCATCAGGGAAGTAGCTAACAGAATTGAAGAAACATTTGCAATTTCTAATTATTTCACCCATCATTCTGGTAAATTTTGCATTGCCTTAAGCTCTACAACAACCAGATAAGTTACATACTTGCTAAGTAACTTGTCTCCACAAATTATAGAATGGCCGAGGTAATGAGGTAGTTGTAATCGAACAATATTTTGCCCAATATGAATTTCCAGAGGTTATAGGAATAATTGATGTGACACAAAAATTGATCGGACCTTATATGATGATTTAGAAGTGCTTGAAAAAAATATTAATATACCTGATGCATATGTGCCTCCAAATTAAAATAATCAAAGTCGGCATTATGAAAGAGACGATAGGGAAGGAATTCATATAAGATAGAGTATATCACAATCCATATTTTTTTGAATAACCAATAAATCAATAATATACTATATTAGTGTAATTGAAAACTATGACTATGGAATTATGGTTGGACAATTTGTGTTCTCAGTGCTTCGAGAGTCATATCGCTCTCTTCTTCAGAAGAGATCTGGAAATGTTTCATTTGAAGCTCAGATTGATATGTCTCTCAAAATGTCAAGAAGCTTAAAACATGACAACCAATTGATTCCAAAGTTTTAACAAATTATACTCGTAATAAAGGTCACAAAAAATAGGTAATCTAAATATTTTATAACTGTTTAATATCGATTAGTTTTCTGGGTATATATTTTAAAATTGCTGTAAAATTTAATTCTACTTTCGTAAAATTGTTGATTTAATTCGAACGTAACATGGTTCCACGACTTATTCCAAGGAAGAGTATAGACCAAAATTAATAAGGTATTATAAAGAAATAGTTTATCAATGTTCTATATTTTTGTTATACAGGGTGTTCCTAAATAAGTGTCGCAACGGAAAATTATAAATTCCTCTTGAAAAGAGAAACATATATTTCCTCTTCCAATTTTCTTTCCTGACTTTCGTTTTCGAGATACACGGTGTCAAAACTTTTTTTCAGATTTTTGCCAATATCTTGGGAACCGTTTGAATTACAAGACTGAGTTTTTGTACACACATCACCACTATTAATAGCTACTTGTTGCAAATGTTAAATTTCGTTAAAATTGTTAATTATTACTACCCATCTTTTGAATCACAAGATTTTCGAAACGTTAGCAAAATGTTTGTTTTTGTTTATAAAAAGTATTTTTTCTTGAAAACGGTTGACTTTAGATCAATGAAACAAGAGAACTCTTTTTGTGTAAAATTCATTGGCGCTTCGGAATTTGCTGTCACATGTCAATTTTTCCAGTGGCGTAAAAGTTAGGTGGGAAAAACCCTGACGATACTTTAAAATCTCCATCACTGGCACGTTCAATGAATTCAAGAGGGGTGCGAAAAAGTAGCTCTTAATAGTGGTAATGCGTGTACAAAAACTCAGTCCTGTAGTTCAAACGGTTCCTAAGATATTGGCAAAAAATTTAAAAAAAATGAAAATTTTGACACCGTGTATCTCGAAAACGAAAACCCGGAGAAAAATGGAAGAGGGAAAGAATGTTCCTTTTTTCAAGAGGAATTTACAGTTTTCCGTTGCGACACTTATTTAGGAACACACTGTTATATTTTGTAAAAATAAAATGTTCATCTACCAAAGATTTCAATGTTTTATTAATTGAATCAAAAAACGAAATTATTTGTACCTAATTAAAATAAAAATAAATATTTCTTCATAACAAACGAGTAACAAAGTAAATATATATTACAAATAAAACAGGAACTATTCTTAAAAATAAGTAGTACTTGTCAGTCTATCTCCTTTTTCTTCTTAAAATTTCATTTTGTTCATGAAGCAATTGATTCCATATTTAAATATTTAGTAAAAGTGATCAATTACCAATACAGATCAATCAGCATCGACTACTACACGTATCCTCTCTTTAAATTTTTTATGATATCTGAATTTCAATCAGTTTTTTACTAACAGGAAAGAAACAGCAACTAATTGGAAATGATTTATTCAATTCAGTAATGATAATAACGATGTCACCAGCAAGAATTATATGAAAGATACGAATTTAATTATTTATGCTCGTAATATAAATTACAAGAATATGTACAAATAAATAAAGTATACTTTGTTGCTATTGTCAATATTATGCTCTGAACATATTCATCGTTGCTTTGTCGAGACCTCATCACAAACCAACAAAACTTTTCTTTTATTAAAATGGACAGGATGCTCACTTTCTAGTATAATTTCATTGTAACTTAATTGCTCTTGATTTATTAGCTGTACTTGTTGTAACTGTTGGTCTTGTTGTAGCTGCTGCACCTGTTGTTGCTGGTGTAGCGGATACTCTTGCTGTTGATGCTGCTGCAAAATATATAAAGAAACAATGCATCATTCAATTATACAATATTTTCACTTGTGAAATCTTATTTCTATTTAAAAATTTCTCTACCTTATTGAGAATCAAAGAAGCTGCTTCCAACTTCCGAATTATTCGACCTTTTCCCATAATATTAACCCACTATCAAGTTGTAATACCCCCTTTACATGCAGCCACTGCCGCTGCTACTCGCGCTGCCCGCTGTCCTGCCCTGAATAATTCCAGGGCAGCGTTTGAAGCAAGTGACTGTTTACATACAGCTACATCGCGTCGCTTTATTCTCCAGCTGGATTAAAGGAAGACGTAGAAATTGCCGCGGCACTATGTGTTTTGAGTTTGCAAAATTATATTAATGTTTTAAAAAGAAATGATAGAAAAAAAACGTCCACGTCGAAAAAGGCGATGGTGGGTGACAGCGATTCATCGCAACAGAAAGTTGTAGTCTTTTATTTCGTTAATATCCTGAAAATTTACTTAAACATGTATTTTTGCAGAGGATGTATGACAAACTTTTTGGTAATTATTTACTTTAGTGGCACCACCTCCACTTTTCACAAAATTTTGTCTACCCCCCTATTTTCGATGGTGCTGAACACGAATCTGAAGTTTTTTTTGTACGGTCGAACCCAGTTTTTGTGAATAAAATTTTTCAAAATTCTAACTTGAATATTTCAGATAACACTACGTAGAACTCTGTATATTTTATGTAGCTTTCAGAACATCTGTAATAAACAATGACCATTGTTTAAGAAACACATTTTCCCAAATTTGAACTAAAAAAAAATATGTATTTAATAAATAAAATAATAGTAACTTTATGTGGGATGAACAGAATTGAATGAGAGTGGGGAAACTCAATGTTGTCATCACGAATTACAAATGGCGGATTCAAAAAACTACAAAATTTTTATTTATTAAATACATATCTTTTTACTTGAAATTTACGAAAATGTGTTTCGTGAACAGTGTTAATTGTTCATAACAGATGTTCTGGAAAGCTACATAAAATATACAGAGTTCTACGTAGTGTTATATGCGCGCCATTATTCTATGGCTAAAAATTGGCCTCAATGATTTGGGATCGAGGGGGATTATCCCTCTTTATCCTGCCTCATCTCGTGTAGGCCTGGACAGCCTTCGTAGGTGG